CGAATCTCTTTACCCAACACTTTTATTTGAAATGGAAGTAAGCTCAACAAATATGGAAGGACATTCTTTTTATCTCCTCTTTCTTAACATGTATGTAAACCAGCCTGGCTGTCTGATTGGCCCACTCGCACCTACCTAGCCTGCTACCTACAGATGGACCTTGCACGGTGTCTGGATGGGCATAATTGCCTTGGATTATATTTGAAGAAAAGCTGGATTTTAATAAATCTTTTAATAATTTAACGAAAATCAGCATTTCAGTTAGAAGGACAGATGAGTTATAAGGAATCAGGGAACTGACTTCACAGGAGACCCTGAAGTGGAAATTGTTTGATTGTACAAAGCTATCGTAGGCTCATCGTCTTGCGATGCCGAGGAATCCAAGTTCAGCTTTTGTCCGTCATCTGACAGACATCATCAGAGTTAGAAATGAAGGCTTTTAAAAAAAATCGCCAAAAAACGAAACTAGGAAAAAAGCTGGCTGGTGGAAATCGTACCTATTCTTTAGGCCTAATTTTTTCCTTGTTTTTCCCAACTTGGTAGTATTGTCAGGACAACGTAGTGGAACGCACATTGTCCAGAGTCCATAATATCCATGCTAATTCCTCGAGTCGCATCGTGGACTTAGTACCATAAATATTCAACAGACAATTAGACAAGGGGTAGACTTCACTTGTCTCTTTCACGAGTTGTAATGAGGTTATAAGAATGCCAAAGTTCACCGAAAATGCCGTTTACGATGTCGGCGACACCTTTGGGAATGTAGCAGGTCCACACTCCAACTCTGGAAATTATAATGGGTATCATGGACTCCGGGTATTGTGTATTCTTCTAGGTAGCCCTGACAATACGACTAAGTTTCCAGAACAGGGTCAAACAATGTTTATACAACGAAAGAAGAGCGCGAGCGTACTAAAAACCCCATCATCTTGATGTTCATACCCTCGATCCCATGATTTATTTGGTTATTTCAGAATGATTTAGGTCGGTAAAAGGAGAAAATTTGGACGTGGTTGTAGCTATCACCTTGCAAAAGCAAGCTAGCGTGAAAAGCTGTATGCAATGACATAAAGTTGTATATGTATTGTATGTATGTAATATTTAAATGCTGTTAGGTGTGGGGGCCCTAAAGCTTGTTTTTCTCATTGTCGCAAAAAGAAAATCTATAATAAACTTTTTCCTGGTTGTTGAGATAAGATGTGAACAGAGATGAGAAAAGTATTTCACGACTTAAAGCAAAGCTGAGCCTTGGTGAATTTTGTAATAATTTAAAATTTTATTTTTTAATTAGACTTTCAAGACGGTCATTGAATCTTTTGTTCAAGATGATGAAACACTAGTAGTTTTATTTTCCCGCAATAATATGAATAGACCTCCCGTTTACATTTAATTTTAGATTGCCTTGCTTCCAATAAAGTATTAACATCAATGCTGGATTGTGATTTAGAATAGAAAACGTGGGACCTCGCGTGATTGTAGAAAAATTCATCATCTGAAACTAAATACCGTAAACTAAGTTCTTATAATTTCAAATGGTTTCTGAAGACTTAAAGATGGACTGCAGTTTTGACCTCGTCTAAACTACGGGATTCGAACCTCTGTCGTGTCTATCGTGATGATGTTTACCACTCCACTACTTGGCCATGAGAACCAATGAATTACAGGACAGCGAGGCATAAACTGTAGTCTATTCTCTATGAGAAAAGCTTTTGGAACGACAAAACTGAATTAAATTCAATGGCATCATGAGGCCTACTCATCTAATGTGGGTAAAACGCACCCATAAGTCTTCAACTCGCCTCTTAAGCGATCTAGGCTCATTATGTTTTTATTCAGCCTACTTATTATGAAAATAAGTAATGTCGTCAATTGCAATTGCAAATGCATGATTGCTTTATCGACAATCCCACTATAACATGTGAGTTGCGAAAGGCTTGGCCTGTCTTGACTGTGGAGTGGATTAATAAGCATTTTCACGACCCCTGCGACCAGGCTTGGAGTTCCTTAGATTGAGCTAATGCGACCCGTCCATGTGAGGCCGAAACTACATCTACTACAGCAGGGATACGACAAATTCTGGCAGGCGAAATTGAGTGAAGTTCAATGCCATCATGAAACCTACATCTATGATTATGGGAAAAACGCAACTACTAGTCCTTAATTAACCTCAAGAGACCTAGGCTGACTAAGCTCTTTTACTTGAGGCTCACATTCAGCGAAAATACAATACAGATTGTATAATAATATCCTTTCAAGTCATCATTAAGCAAACTGGCATTATTTTTACTAGGCAAAAAAAAGCCTTACCTCGATTAGCAAAATATAAATACGCCTTAGATTCATCAGTTGAGTGAAAATATCAACTTAAGAATTTGGTTTTAATGATCTGCCGATTGGCGACCAGTCAGTTGGCTTTTGTGAGACTCATTTGCTTCACAGAGGGAAATTAAAACTATTCGTTTTTCCATCACCCTTAGCAACCTATGCTGACTAAAGTTGCTATCCATGATCCATTGAGAGTCTTGTAACAGGATTATTCGCAGTGGCGAGTTATATTATTGCCCAGAATGACCCCTCTTTCGGAAGGCTGGTCTGCGTCGTAGCTGTCTTTTACGCGAATCACGGAGACTTGTTTCTCCACTGGTCGTTAGTGTTGCTCAAGCCCTACTCTCCAGAACCACGAAAAGCCGGTACAGGAACACCGTCGGACAATGAAAATGTGTCTCCCATGGCATGACAATCAATCGCTGTCGTTCGCATGAACGAGTTGCTTAGGCGACAGTCATTAGTTGTCGCTTCATCCAGTACAGGTTGCTGCCTGAAGATGAAGGGGGGCGGCAAAATTGAATTAGGCGGACGGTGTTGTCGTCTCATGAACGCGGTTTAGTTATAGTGACCCTTTGCCTGTTTAAGCCAGGCTTTTGTTGCTTTTGCTGCACTCGTACAGACCGCCCTCCATTTGTCCACATGCTGTCTTCCGGCCACAACCTCCGCCAGCATATTGGCTTATGTGTGTGTGTGTAAATGGTGGTGGGGTGGACTCTCGTCTAGTCACTGTCCTTCTGACAGCCGACATTGTGTAGGCGAATACGAAGAAAAGTTGGGTTTCGAGCTCAATAAATGTAGTGAAAGCAATCAGACCTGGTGGCGGTTCTCTGGTGTTCACGTCAAGGACCAGCCGAAATGACTGTTTGGCCCCCCTCCGTTTCGACCGAGGACCACAGCTTTGCATCTCTTCCCTAGTCTACCATTTTCCCTACCCTCCTCAGAATACTGGTCTCACCTTCTCACAAATCGCGTCGGTCAGCTTGTCTCGAGGCCGATTGTATCTATACGGTCAGAAAAGGCATAAAGTCTTTAAGCCAAGTTCCTGTGTGGCTAAAACATATCTGTGAGTCTGTGTGTGCGTGTGTGTGTGTGCATGAAAAGTATAGATGGAAGAGTAGATATGTGTGGGCAAGACCCAAATCACAGCTCAACAGCCCGAAAGTCTGCCCTAAAGTGTAATACGTTGGATACATTCATCAGGAGACATAGGCCTCATTGCCTTCTTTATAGTTGTTGTTATTATTGTTATAGTTTTGGTTGTTGCTGTCGTCGCAGTAGCACCGGCAGAAGTAGTAACTACTAGACTGCGTCAACATTTCACGCTGCGTTGACGACAGCAAATGTTACATTGCCGTCTCGGTCTTTGCGTTAATGTGGCCAACTGTGAAAGTGTGCTTCGGTGTGCGTGTGTGTATGTGTGTGTAGCAATGTGTGTATTTGTGTTTCTTATTTTTCTTGTGAAAATTGAATTAGACGACAGAAATCAAGTCAGCCAGTCTAGCGGTGGAACCAGGTTGTGTAGCAGTGTGGAGAAAGAAGAATGCTGTCCGATCGGGGCAACAAGTGACCACTTGTTAAAAGGTAGCGAAGTCTTACAAATGCCGGAAAATCCAGTGTTTA